GGATGGGATGGGATGGGATGGGATGGGATGGGATGGGATGGGATGGGATGGGATGGGATGGGATGGGATGGGATGGGATCGGGGAGCAGCTGGATGGGGTTGGGGAACATCAAAACGGGATCGGGGAGCACCCAAAGGGGTTGGGAAACACCTGGGTGGGATCGGGGAACATCCAGTGGGGTGGGGGAGCACGCGGACGGGATTAGGGAGCATTTGAATGGAATATAATACAAAGTTGGGAAGCGCCCAGATGGGATCGGGAAGCACCCACAGGGGTTTGGGGTCCCCCAGTAGCGCCCCGGGGGGGTYGGGAATGGCCCCCATCCCTCTGTGCCGCGTGTGGGATTTGGGGGCACTGACCCCGTCCCTCCCGCAGCGCCCCCCGAGGGTCCCTCCCCGCTGCCGGGGTCCCCGCGGCGCCAGGACGAGCTGGGAGAGCTGGAGCGGCTCCTGGAGCTGGGGGCGCCCGGCAGCGACCGGCGCGGCCCCGGGGTGGCACCGGGGGACGTCACCTCGGCCGTGTGACCCGCCCGGCGACACCGGGGCCGCGCCGGCTGCCGCTCCCCCTTCCTGATGGATTCCTGGGTTTTTTTACGTGGGTTTTGTACTTTTTTAGGGGTTCTGGGGGGTGGGACGGGGACCTTTGGTGGCTGGTCCCTGGGTGGGGGCATTAAACGTGTCACTGGGTGCCACCAGGGTTTGTGTCCTYGCRTGTCCGTGTGTCCGTGCGTGTTACCGGGATGTGTCCCAAGTGTCACCGGGGGTCTGTGTGTCCCTGGGATGTGTCCTCTCGGGTGTTCTGAGTGTCCCCAMGTGTCCAGGTGTCCCTGGGATGTGGCCCCAGGTGTCCCTTCAGGTGTCCTTGGGCGTTTGTGTATCCATGAGATGTATCCCAGGTGTCCCTCTGTCCCCAAGCTGTATCCCTGGCTGTCCCTGCATTACTCGGATGTGTCCCTGGCTGTCCGTGTGTCCCCACGATGTGCCCCTTTAGGTGTCTGTGTGCCCCAAGGTCACATCCCCAGGACGTGTCCCCTCAGGTGTCCATGTGTTCCTGGGATTTATGTCATTTGCCATCCRCGTGTTCCATTCCCGGGATGTGTGCCAGGGTGTCCCTGTGTCCCACACCCATCCCAGACGGGGCCCAGCCATGGGTGGCCCTGGGTACACCCTATAGAGCCCAAGGCAGGTGGAACTGGGGACAGAAAAGCRCCATTTTTAGCCCCAAAATGCTCTCGGGTCACCTCAAACCTCCTCCCTTCCCTTCCTAGAAGGTCCAGATTCCCAGGAATTCTGAGGGTGACAGGAGGTCCCTGAGGGACAGGGGACACCTTGAACCAAGTCCCCTCTGATGCCAAAACCTCACAGCCCCACCTGGTGTCCATTTTGGGGTTCGGGGTCAGTTGG